TCAAAGGTGTTGTTCTTGAGGTCTTCCCCTAATATTGTGCTGCCACTGCTTTTATGCAGAGGATGCTTTTCAAATGTGGTGTTCTGCACAGCAAACGGAGCACATTGATTTACAGATGAGCAATTTTGATGTGGGATGTTTCAGTGGTGCCAAAACCTGCCTGACCTGAAGTTCCTGTCCCATCTTTGGTGCAGCTTACATTAAATGGAGGAAGATCAGGTGTCTTATTCTGAGAGTAGGAAACTGAAGCAGTAGTATTTAAATCATTAGGCACGCTCAGATCAGCAGTTTGCACGACATTAAATGTCCCATTCCCAGAGTTTGATGCTTTTGCTGGTTTATCGGTAGCGGCTCCTGAAAAGCAAGTTTGCCACACATCTGTTTGACCATCACCAGTCAATCTGAAACACCGGTGTTGTGCCAAAAAGTTATTGCCTGCCAAAAAGTGATTTCCAATGTTTCCGTGTATTTTTTATGTGTAATATTGTTAGGTATGTTGCTAAAAAAAGACTTTGGTGAACAGGTATTACAAAGGAGTTATATATAAAATTTAAAAAATACCTGTTTTTCAAGTATCATTATAACGGTGTTATTGTACTTACATTATAATCAATCAGGTCCCTTTTGTCCACTTAAAATATGTTTACAGAACTATTTGCTCCTGTATTTGTTGCCATTTCAGCTGTCCTCTTGGCCAGATTACTCTTAAAGGAGGCATTTTTAAAGTCAACAAGAAATTTTTTTAACTGCGAAAATAAAGGATATATAAAAATCACTGCCAAAAACTGATTGCGATTTCTACCTTGTTAGAGGAATGTTGTTTGCTGCTCAAGATGTCTTGATATCATTCATGAGCGATACATTTGATATATGTTTCACATATTATAGACCAACAAGTTATTTATAGCAGTTTAAATATAAGCAGTTTTTAAACTTCAATGTTTTAATTATTTTCCAGAAAAACGTCCACCGGCCTTAGTGCTGACACATAAATGCGTCTATATCGCAGAATATTAGCCTAATGCTAGCAAACAGACTGGATTACAGTCGACAAAAGAAATGAAAACCAAGTTGCAGTTGGGCTTACACGCCTCGCCCAGAATGCTTTCACGCCAAATAAACGAAAATACAAAAAAGTCAAACACTTAGTGACACACTCTTATTGAATTAAACTCACCTACGACCTGGTAAAAGTTATTCCGCGGTGTTTAGTTTGACCTGTTTAAAAATCCAGTTTTGCTGTAGAAGGCACAGAAAATGCGTGCGGCACTCTTACCGGGCAATTTCGTCAGAACAGGAAGTACTCCGACGACCAACAAAACGTGAATAATCCGCAGCACTGAAGGCTCTCCGCTCACAGCGCCACTTAGCGGCCAAAACAGTGTATTTAAAAAATCCCATTCTGTTGTTCTCACGGGAGTTTGTAGAAAAATCCGAATCGTTAGTCTCCACTTTTTCCTTAGCTGGTTCACCACTGGTTCCGAGGAAAGGGATTACACCAGCAAAGCTGGACAAAAGTAACAGTGAAACCATTACATACGGATAAAGTTTTAACAACTCTACCTTTATATAATATTGTATTGGAAAACCTTGCTTTTAAATCGCAGTGCATGGTAAATATTTGCCTACACAGTATTCTTGTATTTATGGAGATATACCAGTGTGTTGAATAACCTGAGATAAAGATATCCAAAGTCACAAGGTTTCACTGGAAATTCAATATTTTTAACAATAGAATATTAATCTATTATACAATATTTAATTTCAGTGGTGGAATGCCAGTAGCTATGCGTGTTGAATATGCTGATGTTTTATTTATACCCGGCAGCTTGACAATGAGTGCAGTAATTCTAAATGGCAAAGACTGAAATTTCTAAATACTGTAAACTGAAAAAAGGTGTTCAAATGTATTGTGCTAGCAGAGCACCAAAGTGTTAGACCAACCAAATGAAAGGCCGACACATATTATTAAATTTATTAGAGATGAAAAAAAAAAACAGCGTAATGTTAAACACACAAACAGACAAAATCTCATCCTCACTGCAAAATAGAAAAAACATTTCTACTTCAGTGAGTAAATTATTTTATGTAATTATAAACATTAAAAAACAGCAGATATGCTTTAAAGTATTAACACTGGGATTTCACTGGGACATCTCGTTTAGTGTATTTCAGCAACTCTAGAAGAGAAAAAGAAGAAAACTTAATTATGTTCCTACAATAAAAGATTGCTTGTGTAACATAAATAACATAACCAAAAAGGAAAAAAAAAGAGGATCACTTGATAATACTGAGTATATGATATGATTTGATTGAGTAAAGTCCAAATTCTTCAAGTTGTAATGTTGTAATGACTCCTGACTTCTTAATAATTCCTACAAATTAGACCCATATAACCACAGTAACAGGCCATGTGATACCTTCTTTCAGCCTTGTGTTTTCTTCTGATATCAGTTTAAGTTGTTCTTCAAGCTCAGCACATTTTGCACAACCTGAAAAACAGTTTGCATCATTAATTAAAGAGGACAAATGGGAAATTGTAACGCCCACAATTTTCAGTCTATGCTAATTATTTTCACCGTTGTCTTAATGCATGCCCTGTCTTTAAATAGCAATTGATATACTGGGACATTGTATGAATACACAGGACTTAACAATCTTGTGTTAGTTGTTGTTGTCGTTTAATGTTCACAATTGTATGACATGAAATTAAAATCCAACTAACAAGTAATAATAACAACACAGAATAAAAGTAACCTTCAGACAACATAAACACGTGATTTTAATAAACACAAAACAACCAAATTGGTTCTGAGTACCAACAGTCCACTAGAAATTACACAGCTGAGACTTGTCTCCTCAGCACTCTCAACTTACTGTGGATTTGAGTTTTAGGTAGTAGTGCTTTATTGCTGATTCCAGGCTGTTTCAGGGGCCTGGCTCTGTTGGGAGCATTACACGCTTTTGAGGGTTCACTCATACATGCTGGCACTGCAGCCTCTTAAAGCATGAAAGCACCACAGGAGTTCACTACAGGTTACTGCGCTCGTGAAGCTGTTCAGCAGCATAAATCACATCAAACTTTGGCCAACTGCCCAACAGTTAGTGGAAAAAGCCAACAAACCCTTTAGCATATCAGGAAATCTGCACTGATTAGTTTATCTTTAGAAAACACAGTGAGGTACCGTTCTATACCTGCAACTTAGATAAAGTTCAGACCATGTCACAAGTTTCAAGTGCAGAAATTCCAGTAAAGTTCCAACATACCTTGTCCTTGAGCTTTGGCAGGCAAAGCTCTCTTACTGGGCTGCTTGAGGATTGTCGCTTTGTTTGTAGCATCACAGGCAGATACTGGAGCTTCGACACTATTGCATGGATCGGAAGCATCTGCAAAGGGTGGAAAAAAGAAAAATCTACACGACTGTACACTTACACTTAGGTTTCAAGCTGCATAAGTTTCATGCAAATACCAAAAATACCAAACAAAGCTGTTAAAAAGGCTGCAATACTAGAGCATGCTTTTCTTATTTATTTACCCATTTTCTTCCTCTTTGACACTAGCAAACTTTCAGCTCTGGTTAGAGGGTGCTTCTTTGCTTGTGAAGTCTTGGTCACAGGGTTAGTTGCTATGTAGACAAAAAGGAGAAACTGTTACAGAAAATTAAATGAACACATCTTTCACAAAAATCAGATACATTTCTACAGTAATTTCCTTCTCTATAAAAAGCCTGAAAGACCACAGAAGACAACTAAAGCAGATGATCACAGAATTATTTCCATGGTTAAAAACAAAACAACTTCACAACATCTACCAAAGTCAACAACACGCAGGAGGAAGTAGAGGTATCATTGTCAAGACCTCCATTCAAGAGAAGCCATTTATAAATGGAAATACAGAGAGTTTACAACGAGGTGTAAAACCACTAGTTACACTCAAGAACAAGAAGGCAATATTAAACCAGACAACACCTAGAAGTTTGGAATCAACTGCATTTTTATCAATTTTTTTCCCCTTCGAGTATCAGAAGAAAGGCAACTTTACTGTGTATCTGAAGTGAGGGCAAATTGAAACTTTCTAATGTACAGATACAGTTTGACAAATGTGTGAGTACCTGTAGGTCCACAGAGCTTGTCGGTACTTGAAGAAATTGCTGTACTGCTTCTTGTTAAAGGTGGCCTAAGACACATAGTAGCTCTCTGGATCCCTGATGGGATTCCACTAAACTGCGATCTTTGTGAGCCACAAGCGGGCAGCTTGGATCCTGGTATTGGTACAAAGGGGAAGACAGAGATGCCCCGGACGCACCGTGCGAACACACAGATACAGTACATAGTTACACTGAGGTTATTAAACACATGATTATGGGAATAACAAAACTGGGACCTATGCAAACCTTTCTAAAAACAAAGGTATACACTTCCTACCTGTTGCTGTAGCACGCAGGTTGTAGCAGGATGTTACTCCTGTGGTCTTAAATACACACACACACGAAAAGAGGACGTTAACGACAGACTGTCAAGTACATGGATGTACAGCTTTTAATCAGTACAAAATAAAATGTAACAAATAATAACAAATAGGTTCAACCTGTGTTCATGTTCTCAGATGGTAATATCAACATTTTGCAAATATTTAAGTCATACCCCCTGGGGTGCATCAGGGGCAGTGGCAGCAGTGTTTCTTGAAGCTTCAGCTTGGGTTCTTTGTCTTTTCGTAGGTAAGTTGGATGCCACTGTATTCAACCTGGCTGGAATTGAGGAATGTGACTTTGATTTCATCAGCTGAGCTCCAGCTTTCGGGGGAGGGCAAAGGGATTTAGCAGCTGGCAGTTTCAAGAATGTTTTACGGTCACAGACAAGGTTTGATGGAGGGTCTGATGGCACCTGATCAGCTGGCTTCCCGGGACCATCTGTGTACAGCTTCTTCTGTACTCCTATGTGTAAGCCCTCAACTTGCTCAGTGTTCAAGTTGAACATTTTACAGTTAGTCATTGGTGTTGAAGTAATCAAGCAGTCTGCCTTTAAATCCAGGGTGTCATCCAAATTGAAAGACTTGGCTTTGAGGTTCACTGCACCAAAGCTTTGACGGTTTAAAGAATCGGAGAGCCTGCCCACCACAGGCAGACCTGAAAGATCTTTAGTCTCACAGCTACCACCTTCAGAAGCGTCATCGTGGGTTTCAACCTCCTTGGCACTATGGTCCTTAGCATCTGTCGTAACATTATGCTTTGATAGATCAGGGGCAATGTCAATATTGTTGTCTTTTGGGCTGGTGGTTAGATTACCGACTTCAGGTGTGGAGGGCTTCTCTGAAGACCTCGGGCGAATGTCGCATGAGCTTGTTTCTGACAAAGTTATGGTGCCATTGGGCCTGGAGGTATTGTGGTGATCGTCACTCGGGTTCACCTCTGATAAAGTTATTGTTCCATTTGGCTTGGAAGCACTTTGGTGACCGTCACATGAGCTCATTTCTGTCAGAGTTATTGTGCTATTAGGCTTTGAAGCAATTTGGCTACTGTCACTCTGGACCGTTTCCAACAAAGTTACTGTGTCGCTCTTCTTGGAAGGTGGTTGAGAATCAAAGGTGTTGTTCTTGAGGTCTTCCCCTAATACTGTGCTGCCACTGCTTTTATGCAGAGAATGCTTTTCAAATGTGGTGTTCTGCACAGCAAACGGAGCACATTGCTTTACAGATGAGCAATTTTGATTTGTGATGGGGGATGTTTCAGTGGTGCCAAAACTTGCTTGACCTGAAGTCCCATCTTTGGTGCAGCTTACATTAAATGGAGGAAGATCCAGTGTCTTATTCTGAGAGTGGGAAACTGAAGCAGTAGTATTTAAATCAGTAGACACGCTCAGATCAGCGGCCTGCACGACATTAAATGTCCCATTCCCGGAGGCTGATGCTTTTGGGTTTGGCTGTGTCGCGTAGTTTTTCAACTCAGTGTCCTCATCGTTTACTTTGTGACAAGATTCGACAAGTTCTGAGGGGACGTTCTTTTGACTACTACTACACTCCATATTCGATGTAGACCTTACACTCTGAGCTGATGTGTTATTGGACGAGGTTGTGTCATGTGTAACATTAGCTGGTTGACTGCTAAATGTATCATCAGGTGATGTTGAGCTCATCTTCATATTTTGTCCACTGGGCTCGCTGGCTGACTTTGCTTCATGGCTGGCAATCAGCTCTTCAATGATAGCTTCAAGTTTACCAGAAAACTCCACAGGTTCTTCCCGGATCTCTGAGGTAACTTTTTGATTAGCGCTGCACTCCACATTAGAGTCTGCAGATATGTCACTAGAAGATATTATTTCTCGAGTAACATTAGCAGGATTTTTCCCAAGTGTATCCCCTGCTGATGCTTGACTCGTCTCTATATTACATTCACTGGGCTCTGATGAAGACTTGCTATTTTCCAAAACACTTCCCATAGTAATATCCTGAGTTACATCCAAAGAGGTTTTTGCTGTGCTTTCCCCCACACACTTGTCGGATTGTACACTTGTACTTGGCAACTTTTCGCCCGAGATGACATCTGAACTGCTAGGCTGTGCCGCAATTTTTCCATTTTCCATTCCGTTAAAAGACCTGTCACGTTTCAAATCAAGCGGCGGAAGAGCCTGAGTCACATCCATGGAGAATGTCTGTTCTCCTGGTGATAATGGTGAATCACGTGTAACATCAAGGAGAGTAATTTCTGGCAAGAATTTGTCAAGTATCAGCCAGGGGACCGGAGCATGCTTGTTCTGAGAGGCATCAATCATTTTGACATCTGGGTCTGTAATCTCTGTTGTTGCCATATGTTGTGAAAGATCAGGAGGATGAATTTCAGGAATATTTATTTTAGGGCTTGTGCTCGCAGAAGTTGCAGGTGTGCAGTCAGGAGCAGGGGAGTCATTTCTAGTAAGCTGTATGGTAGAATCACATATAGAATCAAATAGGGTCACTTCTGGCAAGCATTCGTCACCTAGAAAGGACACAGGACCATCCATGTCACTGAATAATTGCCCAGAATAGCTACTAGGGGGATCTGAGTTTAACTGTTGGACAGAACCTTTTGTTGATTTTTGACAATCTGCTGTGGCTGCACCAAAGGAGAAAAGAGAAAGTGTCTGACGACGATTATTTTCATGTGTTGAACTTTCTGGAGATTTGTTGCCAATATTTAAGTATTTTAAAATTGGTGTCAGAGCAGACTGGAAAGAAATCCGTGACTTTGGCTTGCTGCCTGTTGGAGCAGGGGTTGAAAAGGTGCAGGTGTCAGAAAGAGGCTTGTTTTCTTCATGGGGCCATTTGAGTTTAGAAGTCCCAGCTTTAACAGTGCCCCCGGGTGGAATGTTTTCACAGCACTCATCGGCATCTGGATTTTCCCGAATGTATAAGCCTCGCCCAGTTGGTTTGTTGGCCATGGATGGTGATGCTTCTTCTCCCACAGAATAAATGAAGGGCTTCTTATTTAAAACAGAGGACAATACTCAGACTCCACACATATTATCAGCTGTCTCAGACTCCCTGTGCCTAAAATAAGAAAACAGAGCTTGACTTCATTGGCTTATGTAGACAACTGAATGAAAAAGTCTCACTGCTGAATTCTTTTACAGCTATTTTATTTATACAAACTAGATATTAAAACAGCAAAATCAAAATGCAATTTAGCACTGACAGTAACGGACGACCATGTAATCTCTACTTGTGCTGAGTTTCTAATGTTACACCCCCCACCCCCCAAAAAAACAAAACCCATGTCAATTTATTTTAAACCGGTAAAACTAGATATTAGGTAACGCATACAGCAACATCATAGCTTAGAAACACAGATTTGGTTTGTAACGTAGAGATTACGGCGGTTTTAGGTTGGAAAACGTTACTCTCCAATTGTTTACTATGTCATATTTACGATAAATAGTTATTTCATTCATGTAATGCTCGGGACATGAGATCATCTTGAACGAGCATAGGTTAAGCTAAAACCTTGTAACGTTTGTTAGAAGGACGGAACCAGCTCTGCTTACCTGTAAACACGAACTTCTTAGCGGATGTTTACAGATGTGAACCTGTTTTAGTCTCAACGAGATTCTGGTTTGATAAGACAAACACGGATACTACAAAATAAGTATCAGCATAAAGTCTGAAACTTTTATCTTGTTAACCACCGAAGCCCTCTCTAGTTCAAAATGTCAGTTTCCTTCACGCTCATTGGATGATTTACACCAATCATAACGCAAGGATTCTTCTTCTGTGTTTAATCGTGAATTAGCGTTCATGCACAGACGATAGCGCTACAGTGCCATCTAACGTTGTTTTGAAAACATTTCGTGACCTTTAAAGTGTGCTTAAGTGGGCTGGGCCAGTGAAACATTCCTTTCAATCAGTGTGTAAATAAGGTTGACTACACATGTAATCCATCTTTATGCAATTTCAACAGTATGTCTCAGTTTTTCTACATCATAGAAAAAA